AACAACATAGTTATTGTCGAGTGCGGAGACATCCGAGTAGTTCCGAGTGTATTACCGTACACAAAGAAAGCAAGGCGAGTGACTACGAAAAAGAATGTGTTAAGTTATCTCTTGATTCTTTGCAAAATATGAGTAAATCGGAATTGAAACCATAGGGTCTAGCAGTTTGAGGCCCTGCATCATTATCTACTGAGAGACGATGTAATTTGCGTGCTGCCCACAGGTTACGGCAAGTCCCTGATATTCAGCCTTATCTTTGATTGGTCCGGATTTGAACAAAGCGCGCTTTGACTCGTTCGCGTTCATTGGCTAGATCGTTTAATGAGTCATTGAGTGCGGGCTTTTAAATTTGATTGGCGGGCGGCGGAGGCAATCGAATCTGGTCAGAGGTTACTTGACACGATGGAGATAGGCTACAGTGAAAAGGTTAGTGTCAAGTTAGCTCTGAAGCTCAGGGTGAGATTATAGGATAATGTATAGTATTTAATAATTATATACTTAAAATCTCCCCTGGCAACAACAATAACAACAACAAAAAAGCCAATAATTTTTTCTCAAAACACCCCCCAGACCTACCTACTTGTCAGCTGGCAAGTGCCTAAAAAGTTAATGTCAAGCCCTGCCAGCTATGTTTTAAAATAATTTACTACCCATACCAGTAACATTGCTTACCCTTATAATAAGGCAAATGTCTGCAGCATCCTTTTCAGTGTCTGTAGCAATTTCATAGTAAGTGTTGGGCTGCATGAAAAATTTTTTATTCCTGAAATGTATTGCAAAATTCAATGATAATACACGACTAGAGACAATATTACATAATGCTTAACAGCATTATCACCACAAAATTTTAATTAAAATGTATGTACTATGTGGTCTTTCAGAGAATCTAACTAACATAGGGCTTTAGGGGCCCGTTTCACGAAGCAGTCGTTAGTTAGAACAACTACTGAACTATCTCGCTAACGAGATAACTTAAGGGGTGTTTCACGAAGCAGTTGTTAACTCATCGCTAAGTTCCGTCGTAAAGTTTGGTTGTTAGTTCTCTCGTTACTCACAGTAGGCTCAAAACAGTTTACCGGAAGTGGAACTCTTGCGTTAAAGTGTCGCGAAAGCACTAACTCTCCAATTTTTGGTGGCTGGAAATGCATAAGAACATATGCTTTGAGGTCGTCGTAAAGGATATCTGTCACCTTTTTGTCACTCTTTTTGTCACAGCTAGGTGCAACCTTTTGTAAATTGCATCATCCTGTGTATATGCTAATAGATTCTGCTTATCATGAAAACATCGTAGTATATGTTGCCGTCTGGCTGTACGGTTTGCAAGAAAGGTAGCTGCAAATAGTGGATATGATAGACAACAGTAACTAAGCAACCTTTCTATTTCATTCCTTACGCATGCGTACAATGAAACTCTAGAGTTAGCTACTGGTCTGACCAGTCGTAAATACCCAAGGTAACAACGACACAATAACGAGTGAGAGAACTAGCGATAGCTTCGTGAAACTGCACTCATAACTAGCAAGAGACTAACTACCGATCGGTAACTAACTACTGCTTCGTGAAATGGGCCCCAGGTCCGTATGGGAATTATAGATGACAGGTGTGAAAATTGAAAAAAATCCCCAAAAGTTAAATGCTTCAATCAGGCCAGTTTTCTAATCCAAGCTTAATTTTAGTCTATGAATCTACGACTACATCTGTGAATAATAAGCAAAATAGTGCACAAGAAAACTACATTCTTATTGGCAACAGCAATGGGGATGGCAGGCCGAGATCCTAATGTCTGTCCTAAAACTATGAAACACCTTTGACACATTTATTATGTAATAATAGTCGATACTTTTATTTAAATTATTTCCATTCTTTATTGTAATCCATCCCTGCTGATGTGGATGAATGAGGTCTTAGATATAAAGTGCTTTCTGTCCTGTAACTACTTTAAAAACACATAAAACTTAAAATCTTCTCTCTTTTAGAAAAGATTGGGTCATAACAACCCTACTTTCACATAAAACTCTTGAGAAACAACTACAAGGACATAACGATACTTGGTGAAGAAAACTGTATGCACATTAATTTGAGTTATAAAGTGACAAGTTAAATGTAGTTCACTTTATTTGTGGAAAACTACCAAGAGATTATCAAATAAATTTGGATTTTTATTTAGCCAACTTACGGTAGAAATTTAGGTGAACCAAATCCCCATAAAAATGTTCCGTCAGAGAGTAACTCCTGCAGTTCATCATATTTGGAAAAATTCTCTAGATCAGCGAAATAAATACAATCCATTCTATTCAACAGCTCCAGTGATGGCCTTCCCTAGAAAAAAATCAACTCTTTAATAATTGATTTAATATTAATTCTTATAAAAATAATTCTTTAAAACATCTGCACACCTTATAAACAAGGCAGCAAAGATGTTAAATGTACAGACAAAAAGAACAAAATAAAGATACACAAAACAGGTCATTTTGTCAATTTTGATGCAATAATAAATAATGCTTAAAAGTACAATCCATCAACACCAAATTGAAATCGTACACAACAGGTAACACAGACGATAAGAATACAGCTTCAAGCCTACAACATTTTATATTCACATACCAGACATTGGGAAATTGTCAGTCCTGCCAATTACAACTGATTGAAATGAGGTTGGACGATTGAAAATAGTAAACTATTGGTCTCTGGGACGAATAAAGATTTTCTGACAAGCGTGAAACTAATTCTGGATAATTCTGACTTAAATTATAATAAAATGTTAATTCTTACAGATGAATCGGAAGAAAAAAGCTGCCTCTCATTATTTCCACTCTTCTTGATGCTTTTCATTTCAGGAATACCCCTGGTTTCACTATAACGCACAGTCATTGTATATTCATTGCGTTACATACATACCACGTGTGCATTCTATTCTTGACCTAGTTTCACTGCCAAGCATGTGTAACAATACCAGGGCAAATGTATCACTAAATTATGAGGACTGACACCTTCCTCAAGAGAAATTATTCATACAGAGGACTAGGATAGTAACAACTGACCTTAAAAGGAACTTAAACATTCCAAGGGTAAAATTGATTTTTCAATATTATATTATCCATTATTTCGTATAATACCTCGTAAATATAATGTCTACTACCCCTATGGGCACTTTTGTTCATATTCAGCTAACTTGACCAGTTTGGCACACATAGGGTCTAATGCAAATTACAGGCGTATGTAACTAAGGGACTATTCCAACAGATATTTGGATCGATCTATCTCCCTGTGGAGTTTCACTAAACTGCTATCAACTTAACTGGCTTAAATGTCTATCACGCCTAGTAAAGCTGTTAGGGGGTAATTATCTTTACCCCCTAGCTGATTTTTTGTCCAGCTGGTCCAAAGGACCAGCAAAGCCCCAGAGTTTCTGCCATGTCTGTGAAAATCCCAATATGCTAATATTGATGACATTGCACAGAATAATATAACATAATGCTTAACAGTTTAAACACCACCACCACCATTGCTTANTTTGGGTTTTTCATACACATGAACGCTGCAGTCCGCCATGACAGTTGTTGACTTGGTTTGGTAGTTTTGCAGCGGTTTCATCTCCATGATGTCCACGTTTGGCATGTCTTGATCTTCGGACGCCACAACCTCTTGTACCACGGCTAGCGTCTGCCCGGCTCCGTGAATGGTGGAGTACCTGTAGTAGTTGGTCCTGTACTGTTCTCCCGCGCAGGAATACTTTTTTGGCTTCTTGGTTTGAACCTTTTTGTGTTTTGTCCCACTGAAATGTAAAGAGAAATGAAGGCATTGTTAGGATTCTTTCGTGTGTTACTGATAAGGAAACAAGTTTTGGCCTTAAGAGTTATACTCATATCATTTCTATTTATTGCTTCTTTTTTCTTCAAATATGGTATTTCCCTATTGTAATCCACCCTTTAAAAAAAAAGTAAATGCGATTGGCTCTAGAAAAGACAACATTTAGCATATTTCAAAATATAACTCAAAGAAAGTTAACACGTGAAGATGCGAGTAAGTGGGCAAGTCTTTACACTCTCTACTATGAGTGAACGCTTGCGGTGTAGTCTTTCCACTAGCTCAATGTTACCTATTCAGCACGGTTAACACTGTCAGTAATACTCTCCATTTAAAAAGGAAGGAGAAGTTTTCCAGAATATGTGCCAATGTATAGAATCAATTGAGGGAAGTCCTTCAGTATACAGTAATCAGAATAGCAATACTCAAAGGATGGCGTAGCTCTGATATACTTGCACGACAGGGCAAGTATTAAACACAGTAAAAGATTGCTTTGCTTGACAAAATGCTGCATAACATTAAGAAAAAAAAGGAGACTGTTAATAATCCGACTCGCACATTGAATACAGCATGCTATCTTATGTTAAAATATAAGGCAGCATATATCTAAATATCTGGCTTTATCTTTGTGACGTTCCTTCGTAATATTTGTTACGCCATACAGCAAGGTTTGCACCTAATATCAACTTTTGTGATTGTTACATCAACCAATTTACCAGACGACGTCACTGTACCAGTGTGTCTATTTTCAAGCATAAATGACACGCTTGCTAGCGTGATTTTAGATTTAAAAATAATCTTGTTGCCCTTAGAAAGTACTGTTCAAATGAAGTAGCTAAATGCCACGGTAATTATGCAATTTTTTCGTATATCGCAATAAATAATTAACTCCAATGTTATTATAAAGTGAACCCCCTGGATGATAAAGCACGGATTTCTATATAATCAACTGTTTTACCCAGTAATTTCACCCGTCACGGTTTTCCTAGGTTACTCTTAAGATAAATTGATCGATTGAGTAATTTAAAGATGCTGAAGACCAACAGTGAAATGTGGTAATTACGACGTGACTCCCGAAGGATGGCGGTTCTCCACAACTGAGCTTTACCAGACTCTTATCCACATATTAGATAGATTTTCTTCATGGCAGGAAGTAAGGGGATGTCTTAATCGTTTTAAGGTCGTTCCTTGGCGATTGTATGCTTTACCAAAGATTGTGTCTTCGGTGCGCAGAAAATATAAGGTTTCCGCGTTTATCCGACTGCATGTGTAACCTTCATCAAATAGCAACCGACCACAAAAGAAGGAAGTAGCTGTTTAATTACATATAAAAGCGAGTCTTTTAATATATTAAAATATCACAGGGATATTTCTCACTTTGATATTTTAATCTTGGCATGAACATAACAGACAATTAACGTAGGCAAATGACCCAGCGTCTTTTCGAGTGCAAATAAGCCCATTTGAACATTGATCGATTAGTCGACCATTGGGTGATCCACGTGTACTTTAAATAGTGAGTGACTTGCCACGTGCAGCGTGCATCCACATTGATGCATTCAGGTAGTTTTACTACACGAAGTTACCATTGGTGTGGTTGCTATTCAGAATATGCTTTCCAAAGTCACACTTATGACTGTTTAACTTTAATATTACGATTTTTTTATATCTTTTTGAAAAATATATTTGTATTGACATGCACTATTTAGTTGATTCGAGGTAAATTTGTTTTATGTAATGTTATGGATCAATTAAACAGTTATAAGTTATTATCTTCACAACATTCCAGGTGGGGTCTAGATGATAATAGGCAGATCAAGGTCTCTGAAGAAGCCTTTTACCAGTCAGCTTGCTATTCTAAGCAATGCTTCAGTCCTATACCTTGCTCTTAAAGTTCCAGATGCTCAGCGTATTTCACCAGGACAATAAGGTTTGCCTATACACTACACACAAATGATCCAAGTACCTTCCTGTCTGTTTGAATTTGAAAGATAATTCTTTTGCATTCGACCAACCACTGGGCCTACGTGAATGCTCTGCTTGCTAAAGGTTGGATAATCGTTGGACCATTGTTGGTTATTGTAAGTTGGCCCAGTGTTAATGCTGTGTTGGTTATTATAAGTTGGCCCAGTGTTAATGCTGTGTTGGTTATTATAAGTTGGCCCAGTGTTAATGCTGTGTTGGTTAGTATAAGTTGGCCCAGTGTTAATGCTGTGTTGGTTATTGTAAGTTGGCCCAGTGTTAATGCTGTGTTGGTTATTATAAGTTGGCCCAGCGTTAATGCTGTGTTGGTTTAGAGGACGGTTAATAGTTTGGCCAAGGTGGGTGAACAGTTGGGTCTCCGCAAGACCAACGTGAATGCACTTTTGGTTAGAGGTTGGGTAATTGATGGGCCAATACTAGTTATAAATTGTAGGGTCAACGTTGTTTAGTTGCAATATGCTAGTACTCAATTAGGTAACCTTGGTCCAACGTTGGCCAAAATGAGCACTAAGATGGAAACCCTACGTTCGGCCAATGTTTGCACGCCGGCGCCATTTTGTTACCAGTCTGGATAAGGTACTATGTTGCTCTAATCAAAAGTCTTGATGGTTGAGAAAAATAGAAAAAAAATGTTGCTGAACTTTTGAACATCAGTAAAAGATACATATTCTATAAAATGGTGCAATTTTATATGTTCTCTTGGATATAATAAGTGTCAATTTATGCTATATAAAGCATGGCATGAAATATTTAGTCCACAAACTGCACGTGTTTCAGACTTTTGTATAATTTGAGACTGCTATCGGCATACTATTATGACCGTAAATTACATCATTAGTGTTTACGCAATGTCGTACAAGTACGTCAGTTAACCAGCATTTACCTAGGCGCCACATGCACTCCCGTCACGAAGTCACACTGGGCCAGCGTTGAAATCAAATTTTGAAATCAGATTTTTTTCTGCCATCAGTGCACGTGATCTCAATATGTATTTCCTGTCTCTAACGGTAACTGATGTTTATCTGACCGGCTCACGCTATTTGCACCGTTCAATCGAAATGACAAAAGGGGGACTGATAATAGAGAGAAATACCAGTAATCTGTGAACCAAACCTCTAGCTATAGAGGTTACAAACTATTCTATAAGAAAAACCTCTTGTGAATTCATCTGCTGGTGCCCACGTCATAATACATTGAGATATAATGGTGTCATTAAGGCATGTTGTTATTCAATCGGTACTAAAAAACGGTCTCTTCTGAGTAAAGTACGTTTATAGGAAGAGCTTATGTCAATAATAAACCTGTCAGTTACTTCAGTCAATCTGAGGGGGTAGGAAAGAGTATCTATTCTTTTCTTCACAAGCACAGGGAGAAATTGGAGTGGTTGATATAAGGTACGATGTGCAGGATTTGCCATACAAAAAGAATTTTCTAGGTAAAAAGGCCTTTTTTCCAACTTATTAATCATTCTTCGATCCGTCCTTGTGCTTGTTTTATTCCATATTTGATTTAATGGTTTTGAATTTAATGGCCAGTCGTTAGAACGCCACGTTTTCCTGTACATTTCAGAAGGTACTATGGACGCCACTTAAGTTTTTTGTTTATATATACAGAGTTTTAAAGGTCTGAATTTGGAAAGATTAGCAGCTTTGCAAGGTATGTAGACAGAAAATATGACTTGGGGGATTTTTCAATCGCCCACAGTATACCTTTAATAAAACGGGGAAAGGCCCATAAATAAATTAAAATACTTCCTTTATTATCTACCTTTCCAAACACTCCCTGTCTGTCTATGTAAGTCACTGTTGATTATAAATCAAGGTAGGGAAGTTTTGCCCACTCACCAAACAATATCAATAATTTCAATACCGGTTATTTCTTCTCCGATTTTCGAAATTGCCTTCATTTTCTTTAATAAGCTCCCTCAGGAAGCAATTAGTTAGAACATCCTGTCTTTGTATTGAACATCATTATACGTTAATAGGACATGATCAAATTTGATAGAACAGTTACAGCTGTGATGCGGAGTGGGACCTACTTGTATGATGAACTGTTTTCAATACTTGACTCATGAGTGAGAAAAATTCACAGAAAAATGCCATTAAGCAGGATAGAAAATAAAAAACGGGATATTTTATAATCGCCAATGTGGTCTTCCAAGTCTATGCAAATAGATTGAATATTATCGAATAAAAGATCTGTACGGGACTCGTTTAGGATACAGCATCACTTGAAGTGTGTCATGAGGCGTACAGGCTGACAGAAAGATTTCGCCGATCCAGTTTCCGTAAGCAGTTAAATAAATGAGTCTATCAATGATTCGAATATGTTAATTATAAAGAAAAGTAAGAGTTTGATTAATAGGATAGGGATCGTGCCCACGGGCGCGAGGTTAAACAAGACACACTGCTTTAATTAAGACCACCTAATTACTTGCTGATATGCCGGAGTTTCGTCTAGACCTAAGTCAATCTTTCTCTCAACTAGTGTCTGATTTCCGCTTATTATTCTGATATGGCCCTCCAATTACGTTGCTCAGATTGTTCATACTGGGGTCCTATTTTGTAAAATGTAATTTACTGCGTAGGCCGATATCCAAGCTATTGTGATAGCTACAAGACAGCCGATCCGTCAAAGTAATTAAGTATTTTTTTATTTTTGATGCTTTGTCGTCTTCCCACTAGTATATATTTCACGTAAGCAATAGCTTAAGATCAATAGTGCGGTTTTATATTCAAAGATCAAAATTGTTTTCACGCAGGATTTATCGATACTTGATTTCATTATATCGTTTTTTCTATGAATAAAAGATGGAAGAGTTAGGAATAGATTCCAATTTTTCCTGTTAAAGTATCGAAAATGTCAGGACTTATTAATTTTTCAGGGTATTTGTTTTCATCAGTCCTTCCCAACAATAAACCGTCTCTTCAGTTTGAAAACATGGTCTTCCTGTTACTATCCCGTTCAATTAGATTCATCTGTACTCAAAATCGGATCTATTGATCAAATTGGATTTGCACCCAACAATACGTTTAGATATATATGTGAAAACACTAGCCTCATAGAAAGGGAAGAAACACAATATGCGTAAACGGCTAGGTTCGATTTTGGTAGGTTCGGCGGTGCGAAAATAAAAAAGAATTAAAAATAGCTTATATTTGATAAAGCAGGTGTGATATTATAATGCTGCAGCCGTGTCAACCGCTTCAAATGGTTCAGCAGAACAGACTGATACAGATAAAGGAGTAAGAGACTGAGGGCTGGGGACGGTAGATAAAGACACCCTACATTGTTGAATAGACGACTTCTTGGAACAAGACCCCTTTTTTCACGAGGGCAGTAAATTGAATACGGATTTTATCTCATCCGTTTATAGTTTTCATTCCCAACAAAAAACCCCTAAAGGACTTCATAAAAATTGGACAGTAATACAATGATAGCACATAGCCCGCGCTGCCGTGGGAATTCTGATGCCACTAGGAACCAACCATGCAGTTCTGCATGTATTAAATTCATGGATCTAAAAGGCAGCAAGGGCTTTAATAGCCTATTATTTCACCAAATGACACCATGATATGTCAGAGGATTCGATATCTGACTCCTTGTGGTCATAAATGTGTCGTCTGCATACGGACTGGCGATAAATCAAAACGGTTATTTGTGTGGAACACTCGTTTATGCCATACTTTGGATGCTTCCAATAGTAAGATTTCATTAGAAGATTTCAGTCCTCACGAGGAAGACAAAAACATACACGATCATTTGAAATATTGTCAGTTTCTGCTTTTACCTTCAAGAACTAGAGGACAAACGTAACTGAGAAAAGCTAATTTAGAGATGGTATGTTTTCCTATTCTTCAAACAGACATTAGCTTCTAGCTGCAAACGGTTTCCGTTCACAGTAGGAAATGGACGAGATAACGCATTCTTGCCATTTTTTCTTCTGGATAAATCATGGGTATATTGACAGAACTCTTTGGAATGAGTTCAATCCGTATATCTCCATCAGGCTTTAGACTCGGCGAAGGTACCATGAAACCTATGACATATGTACCTTCAATATGATGTTTTTACTCTTCAGAAGTATAAAACCCATTAAATGCTCTCTATAAAAAGTATAAATTTTCAGTAACGCAATACCCGTTTTTAAATGTGCCCTGTTATTTGGAACATTCCCAACGGTTCATTAAATTAATGATTTATAATATAACACTATTACACTATATAACCTCAAATCTTCAGAAAAAATGTCTGTTGGTAGGGCGAACTTTAGCTAAGAATTAGTTGTCAATTTTGCTTTTAACCGCTGCAGAGCTATTTTCTTTTGTTGTTGTTATTGTTTTTGTTTTGTTTTTTGTTTTTTTTGTATTTTTTTAAAAAAATTATATCTATTTTTTTTCGTTTTTTTTTTCAACATAGGGCAATATTTATTTTATGTCCATCAAGATATAGAAGCAGAATATGTCATTGGAACCCTGTAATATAAGTACTGCGCAAAACTACTGGCACTAGTGACTATCATACATTATGTTGTAATACCTCAGTAGCACAGATTGGACACGCTCGCAGCCCCCATACAGAGACTATATATACGTACATCTAGTGGTGTACCTAAAATCAAAATGATCCCATGATCTCACCTTCAAAAGATTAGCTAGAAGAATGACTGTGGCTTCAGCTGCGGACTAGCAGATTGTGGGTTGGGCGGGGGGAGGGGGGTTTTCAAGCAAGGCTTCAATCATACTGGCAAAATGCCAAACATTTGTTTGCCTTTTCATATTTAAAGAGAACGGTTCGACCTTTAGTTGACATTCGTTATCACACGTTTACTTGTCAGCCAATGTCACTGTATAGAGTATCACCAGGTTCAAAAGATAATCACTGAATATGGATGCCAAAAGCTTCTCTTGTAATTATGGAAGTTGTGTGATTGACGGCACACGTTTGGACGTCCGCCAAAGATAAGTGCACGAACGGGTTTTCTGAGGGTTATTGCATTTATCTTTACTTAATATCATGATATTTATTAGATACGGTGCTAATGTACAATGCAATTAATGAAGGAAGCAGTCACCCTTTAGTCAGTCTTGACCTGGTCACTATCGGTCAGCTGGCGCAGGAAAGTGGTATCATTCGTGGCACAATACGTTTTATAGAGCAATGAAAACGATCTGCAACCGTATGTCATTGCCATACAGCTTTACTGGTCTAAAATATCTATTAAATTTACTATAAAAAACACTAAAGATTTGCAGAAAAAGGAAATACTAAGCTAATCAGAGCTTCTCTATAGAAAATTATTTCCATGATGCTCAATGACAAAGCATCATAAATCAGTAACATATTGCGGAATTTTTTTATATACAGGGCCAGTATATTACTATACTGGACCAAAACCCGTGCCCTAGTGAATAAATAAAAGAACCTAAGTTAACAATAGACTAAACAGTGCTTCTCTATAGAGGATGATTTCCATGATATTCAATAACGATAAATCAGTAACATTTTTCAGAAATTATCATTATATATATATTTTACTGCACTGGACCAAAACTCGCGAGTGAGCGAATGAAGAAAATAAAATATACGAACCAGTATAAGGGGTTAAAAAATCCATATTGATCGCTGTCCAAATTTTGGCCCACCGCTCCCTACCCCTTCAACACCATGCACCAACAAAATAACTACGATAAAATACCCGAAAATAACAGATTACTCACATAACATGCAATTTATTACACAGGCTCTTTCTATCAATTTAAGTTTTGTAAATGACCGAAATGACAGCTCATTGACTACTTATACACGGGTACCAACCACAGTTCAGTTCATACGTACAGTAAGGCGTATACAGCTGACACCACGCACACAGTGGCGATTCCCGTGGCCAGTAACATGCCTATTGCCACCCCGGCAATCTGCTTGGTAGACCAAACATCCGACGTGGGCTCGTCGTACTCCAGTCGTCTCGTCAGCAGCGGGGACTGGCCCATGTTACTCCAACGCTCAAGGTCCTGCGTTCGCGAAGGATTCACCCCACTCCCGGGAACGCCGCTTTCGTTTTTCAGATTCATTGCTGGTTTATGCGAGGCACGCAGAGCGCATACTTAGAGTTGTGTGTGGCATTAATGGTTTTCGCTAAAGAGAGTGACATTGCTGTGTGTCAGCCACTGGCAGTCTCTTTGACGTCATTTTATTAAAACTGAGAAATAAACGGAAACCAAGCACTATGGAATATTGCCGTGGGCTCAGTAAACTATTTCATATATTTCATCATTCCCGTTGCTTACATTCCATTTTGATTTCCTTCCACACACACAGGAGGAGAAGTACATACAAGGATCACGTTTTCACATCTACCATTCCATTTTGGTGTTTTTCTTATCTTCATCCCCGCAGTAGCCCGGGGTCGCGACCGGATGGATCTGACGAGCAGTAGTAATTTGGCAATCAATTTAATTCCATAGCAGCTAACCCATTGGCACGTCCATTGGCTCCTGCCTGGTTCGAACCCTGATGCAATTTATCTCGACATCAGAAAGAGATATATTGAGCCCTGAATCTTCTACAGATGCCTTGATGATGAAAACGTGTTTGGTTAGAGCAATTTACGGTAAAAGATTGGGGCCACTTCCAAGAAAATGCCGAGGCAAAATAAAATATTGAGAAAGCAAGCATTTTTGAACAGGAAGCAATGGTTTTATCTACTACAATTAGAAGTTTAATGTAGTTTCCGATTGTTTGGAATGGTCACGAAGCAAGATGTACGTGACAGACGTCTTGGTACAATATGGGACCTCGGACCATGATATGGACCCTTGGACCCGAGACTTACAAAATAAATTAGGCTTCCTTTATGCGAATTGACCGCACTTAATTTCCTAATCTAGATCTACCAAAACCAATCTGTCAGTTTAATCAAAGACATGTTGTGAGCCACGCTGCGTTCATCCATCGCGTCGAGTGCAGCATTTGGTTGGTGAGAGTGGAAAAAATGCCATTGTGTTAGTTGAGACAGACATATCAAAATTTCTCATCAGCGCTGAACAGTTTCATATTCATTGTAAGGATTACTTCCTCTGAAAGAAAGTCTCTTAACAAATTCTAGAAAAAAGTTTCTAACTTGATAAGGTTTGGCATTAAAAATATACCAATGGTAAACAGTTGAATATACAATGCATAAAAATGTCCAAGATGTAATCCACTGTAATCCATTGTATTTTTTTTCTATCCCAAACACAAAATATTTCCAAAAATTCGACCTTAACCGCACTTCTCCCTCAAATGAGAATCCTTGAGATCTTCCCACAAAAATAACATGTCGTCTGCTTCGAGTCTATTCCCAGCAATAACTTTACCCTGGGCAACATCGCATGATGAAGGTTGCCTTGACCCCCAATTTCCAAATTCCTCAAACTGTTTAATTTCCGCTCCAACTACCTCTCTGAGAACGCCAGTAACGTAAGCATCTTCTAAAACAATCATCGGGAAATATTCCGACGCCTCGTAAATCCGTTTTGCCAGATCGAGCGACATGGCGTACGCTGGCCCGCCAAGAAAAGGGGGAAAGGTCTCAAAAGGGAAGACGCTGTAAGGCACCGCCCACTGCCCGTTGCGTTGGACAGAAAACTTGGCATGGCGCGCTCCGTACACTGTGTTAGAATGACTGAGAATATCAAGTACTTTGGGGATATCAATAAACACGTCTTCTTCCACTTTAAGTACGTATTTCGCTTGAGGACAGAAAGCTGCTGCCCACTTAAATGCGCCTATTGTTTTTATAGACGCATTGAAAGGACTTTCTGTGTAATCCTCTAAAATGATGTCGCTATGGATTTGACTTTCGTGTGCGATTTTCTTGTTCCACGATGAGACTATATGGGTACCGACGAAGAACAGTATTTTGACTGCTTGATTTAGAGGTCTTCCGTCCACCCATGATTGAGACTGGGACACGCTTCCCCACGTCTCTCTTACTGCTAATCTCGAATACTCCCTGTCGTGATAAGAACATATCAACACCAACAGGTACGGTGGCTCTGACAGCTTTTCACAAAACTTTTCTTCTTTGATGATGTAGTGAAAATCGTGCGGATTAACTTTCTCCTTCCGACGCTGATAATATGCCGCACGTGACAAATTATCATACCCATCTTTTGGGTTTTTTTTTGGGCACAGATTTTTCTGAATTCGCATCATCAGAGTTAATCGTGGCCCTAACTACGGGTATTTTGCCCAGTTTTTTTGCTCTCATCTTCGTTCCTGCTGCCTCTGTGGGCAGATCGTTCTTCTCGCTGTCTACAGTCAAACCATCTTTGGGCAAAATCGTCTTGGCACCCTGTGTCGCATGTTCTTGGTGTATGTTGTCTTGTTCGACACTCATGAACACTACTATCCTTTCACTCCAAAACAACAATGCTAGTATCCCAGCCACACACGTCAGCCGCATCAGTGACACGCCACAAAGTTCTGGTCCTCGAGCCATGGGGGGTCTATCCGAGGCGAAACTTGGTTAATTGTACAAGTAAACAGCGAGCTGGGAAGGCTTGCATTTATCTACAACACAGTCCCGTTCACGCCCTTCTTTTAGGGATGATCAATGTATCAGACCCCACTCCGGCGCAGGGTCCGCTTACTAGCAGTCTGTTACAAACTAATTGTATTTTGTTTACTACACATGTATTTTAGAGGCCCTGGCATCAGAGGAAATCATCAGACCAGTTACATATAACAACCAACCAATCTTCTTCCACAGCCACAAAGTAAATCGTGTCCGTACTCCTTGTCCCAGAACATAAACCCCAAACTTGTCTTTCCTCTCAACAGTGGCTTTTGAAAAATATTCTATGTACACTGCAGAATTCGACTCAAGCCACTTAGCGCAACTTTGTGTCTTTTCATGTGCTCCTTTCCCCAGTATTCACTGTACGGAAGGGGGGGTGTAGACTCACGAGGTACACGATGTACTTGTACATAAGAATACTCTCTAACCTGACAGAATTTGTAGCGTTACCACTCAAACATCGTATCGATTGTCAGAGGAAAATACGATTATCAAGACAATAATTTCACCTGCCTTTTATCAATTTATTGAAAAACGTGATCGATCTTGACACAAACTAGGTCACATAACTAATCAATAATTGACAACATTTTGAACATGCTCATTTCAATGCTGAAAAGAAAAAAGAAAAGAAAAAGAAAGAAAATTCCAAAATCTATATATCCCATTTTCTACCGTACTGACTGTGTCAAATACCCATGTGTGCATACACTAAAATAAACCTTCCTTAAACTGTCACATTCTAAAATACAAACGAGCCTACTATTACTTTTCCAGTCAACATGACTTTGAACTTTTGAATGGAGTATGTTGGAGATCTGTAATTATGCCTTGGTTATGAATAAATTGCATTTTATTAGCTATCCTAATAAAAGTATGTTCGAATGGAAAAATCTCAATATCTGTAATGAAAGAGATCAAACAGAACCTCGAGAATCTTACTATTCTCTTTTAACAATTCTCTTCATCAAAATAAATCTCTTCAGGCAGCAGTTTGTCCCACTAGGCACTAGCTTAATTAAGGTTACTGCCGACCTTACACCTAAAAAAGGCATCGGTCTAGAAAAAAAATGTTACTTTATTCAATACTAGCCCACTTTTATAGTCTGATTAGTCAAAGGGCTAGTAGCCTATATAGTTATTGACACAGACCGTAACAGAATATTGTGATCCAATGTATGACCGTAATTTATATAACTAGAAAAGCACTCCGAGAGCGCAGACCTCCGCCAAGGCAGCAAAGTCTCCATCCAATACCGTATCAACCCTAAATATTCGATATTTTTTATTATTGATTGATTATTGATCTGAATCAGCACCAAAAACTAATCATCTCTTCCTTGGCCCACTTCTGACAGTTCCTGAAAATTTCATCAAAATCGATCCATAACTTTTTGAATTATGTTGATGACAGACAAACAGACTAACAGGGGTGAAAACATAACCTCCTAGGCAGAGGTAATAACACATAGGGGCATTATGAATACAGCAAAAAGGTGAGAAATAAAATATGTCTCTTGGAGAACTATTAAATCCAATCTTGGATAAAATTTGTGGAATGTGATTACTTTTGTGTTTATTTTTACCTGCTTATCTGAACATATGCCATATAAATTAATATAACAGATCTTTGGCCTTCAGATATTAAATGTTTAACAGTCTTTCATTTTCAGGTTTAATTATGCAAGTACCATGTAAGAAAAAAGGTAATATGACAATAGCAGAAGTAATATTCTTCAATAAAGATGTAAAAGAATCATAAAGTTATTTGTTACTAGATACAAGTATACCATGCCAGCAATATGAGTTCAGTATTATTGCACCATTTGCTCAAGATTGAACCCTAGATGTATTTACCACTTATTTCACCTCATTAGTTACTTTTCCACTATACATGAGGATGTAAATCTGAAAGATGGCTAAGAAAAACAAGTTGCAAAGCATCTGTTCACCAAGGTGCAAAAACAAGCTTCGTGTGCAAGAAATATTAGCATCATACATGTGAGTTTACTCGACCTTTATGTTATTCAAAAATTTTCACTGTAAACAAGTTGACAGTCTACAGTATAAATTAGTCGTTCATGTTCTACATTGGACCTTCTTAGACCCCATTATTGTGTATTATTAGTATTCTGGTGTAAACTTCTTTACAGAAGTATTAAAGTTCATTAAAAAAAAACATTTTACTTATGGTCTCCCGCAAGAAAACGCAGTAGATACTCCAGCGCAGTAGACTACTGCATTCATACTGCAAACATGCCTCAAAGCTGCTTCGAGTAGGGAGCTCATTAGCATATTTGAAACATGCTTCTATCATGCTGCTAATCTACTGCATTAATGCTCCTCCTCTGTACAACCCTATGTAAATTTTGAAGTAGAATTGCAGTAGGCTATACTGCATTTCTACTGCAAATATGCTCCACACCACTACTGCGTTAATGCTTCTTTACTACTTCGATACTACTGCATTTTCGTGCGGGTATGGACACACAATACAGAAATGAGCCTGAAATTAATCAAACCATGAGATAAGAAAATAGGCCATTTCTGTTGTGTGTTTTGTTTCCGTAAGTAAAGCAATCAACTTCACATTTTAAATATAATGCTGCAGCAAATTCTAATTCTTTGTTCATTAAGTTATAAGATATATTTAATAAAGATTTTGTTATTTGGTCAACAACAGTCAAAATCCTTCTCCTTCCATCTACATGCATAGCCAATGGTTAAACAGAAAAATTTGTTCATAAACTCTTCATGATCCCATCTATCCAAGTGTCTGATATCTTAAATGTCCTAAAGCAGGGGCGGATCCAGAGATATTTTCTGACAGTCTTCCAACAGGCCCATAGCCAGCCATTTCAAAAGGGGGGTTCTTTTTCTGAAAAAGTGGACCTTAAAAAACTTCATGTACCTAGATCAAATTTTACCCAGAGTGGACCTTTTCCCAGCAAAAGGGGCGGTTCTTTCGAACCCTCCAAACCCCCTGGCTACGGGCCTGTCCAAATTATCTTTATTGATCCAACCTCCATTTTTGACCGTCTTCCAACAGAAAAAAAAAGATACCCGTCATGGCCGTCAATGTAAACTTGCAAATCTGACTGCCTTTCAGAAGACCCAGAAGACGGCCTAAATCCGCCCCTGCTAAAGTAACATTATCACCCACTTTCACCATTTGGTAAATTTAGATTTTATATATATATAAAATATATATATATAACAGTCTTCTTAGCTTTATCTTTATATCATGTTAAGTGTGGAAATACACTATTCCCAACTGATACTCTATACACATACTGGTAAGTAATTGAGCATTTTCTAAAGCAACTGCTATGTATCCACTAATATATGTCCATTACTAACTGGTGAATTCACAGCTTTTGAGACTCCTAATCCCCGCTCTCCACACAACGTCTCTCTCAGACCTAGGTATATATACACTGGCCACAGCAATGTCACCGACAGCTTCGGTTCAGACTTGGTGCAAGTCAAGATCACAAAAAATATCTGCAAGTATGGAATGAGGCACGCAGCAATCCAAACAGCCATAGGGACATCTGTCAAGTGAGTCCACATTGAACTGTGTCCCTTACTAGAGTCAGATTCCTTTTTATGAAGTCCTGCCCTGTCTTTTAATTTATCACTTTTGTCCACATCTACATCGTGATAGTCTTGCACATGTTTGAGAGCCAGGCTGTTGAACTGTTCACTGATTTCAAAGATGTAATACACTGCGACTAAAGTTACCATTAGGTACAACAACAGTAGAAGCCAAGCAATTCTCTGTCTAAATTTCATTATCCATGTGATGAAATGGAATGTCTATGACGAATACCTAGAAAGTAAAAAAAGAAAAATTAAATTTTTAATTAAAATTTTGGGTAATAATATACCACAGCCTGATGGTAGTGCATGGTAGTTTCTTATACATTCTGAGCACTGTCAAGAGGTACGTTTCAGTGTACAAAGGTTCATTGGTCTGAAAAATCATAGCATTTTCATCAGGTTTTTAATCAAGGGTTCTTGGGTCTGAAGGTTCTTATAGTGAACATTCAGAACAATGAACCTTCGGACTATTGCTATGGCCCCATTGTACATACTGGTAGCACATAAGTATTGTTAAACAGAATTACTCAAGGGAGGTTTTCTGTAAAATTGGATTGGAATCTCTACTAGGCAATTGGAACCTGGACTATGACTTATATTTCATATCAATATTTCAGCACCGGGGTTTGGCATAAAATGAGGGTTATTAATAATAATATGCTGACAATTCCCTGAACTGGAGATAAGCAATATGTTTGTTAAAATAATTTAAAAAATGTAGTTCATTTGGGCAAAATTACAATTAGACATCTCATTACTACTCCCCCACACACACCTCAGATACAAAACCTGGTCTAACTGTGAATTTCAAGTATACTAGCACCTACATGTACATGTACATGTACACTTCCTCAGTCGCTGGATACTAGTACACTGTCGCCATGCTGAACGGATCACTTTGACTTTTCATACAGGTACGATACGTCAGGTCTGGTAAAGAATAGTAATATCACATCCTTTCATCAATCGCTGTACCTCATGCTTTTTTCACATCAAAGTATCAGTTGAACTTGTATATTTTTCATATGGAAATCGCACAAATTCTAAGATATTATACCCGCATGAAGCTGTTTCTTACTTCAGTTGTGAATAAGGAGTAAGACGCAAGTAAATTTTTGTGAACGCTGTTTTCAGTATGGAGGATTAAAGCTAATATGTTGGCTCGTTAAATTAAATGCAAAGTTGCTTTTTATTATTCCATATCTCTACGATAAAATATACCCCAAAACTCAGGTTTAATTCAATGTCATATTTGACGAATTTACAGCTGAAAATGAAAAGAGATGTTTACCTCCTACCGACAGCTGTGCTCTCTCAGACCTCGTGACCCCCGTGAAGGTGCCTGACTGACCTTGACCTAAATAAAGATTGATAAAGAAGTGGAATCATTGAAACATCGGAGCTGACCTCACGCCCGTATTTCTATGTACTGTTGACTTCACAGACCAAACCAAAAAGTATTTTAATCAGTTTCAGTACACTAAAACAGTTTTGGACAACATGAAGCGGATAGGGTACTGGGTTACCGACAAAAAGTTTAAAAAGATGAGATTTGCAAGTTTTCATGATATTTGCAGGTAAGGTCTGCTAAGGACATTGGCGAATGACAAGTTAAAGTAAACGAAATTCCTTTTCATAGTTGTGATTGAGACCTTATAGAATCGCTGATCCGTTTCAACATTTTACTAGGTGAAGTGTAAGGTGCCCCAGGTAAGCAGGTCAGTTTACATCTAGTATCGTGAGATAAGTATGTATATAACTGCCGTCACTCCAGTCCTAAATCTGAACAGTACGTAACGTGTAGCAGTGTATACAAATTTTAAGATCGCTGTGTTGTGTACGAGTACCGTGTCAGAAACTCATTCTGTAAGGAGCTGCCTCAAACGAGAGGCGTTCTTATGTATAACGGGATCGGGCTGTGGCCATGGACTGCTGCATTGATTTCACCTTGACATTAAAACAAAACACTCCAGACATCAAAGTAACAGAGATCGAGGGCCTTTTTACAGGGAGCAATATGCTTTTCTGTTTTGCACCATTTTATCAGGTTTAAACCTATGTCTTCAAGCTACAGTGTATGATGGGTTTTATCATTTTGGTCCTTGGAAACAGAATTGATCTGATAAACCATGCATTTGCTACATGGCCAGCTAGGCTGTTCAGTTACCAGTACATCTCCAAGTGTACTACATACTGTGAAAGGGGCTGATCAAACAAGTAAATGGAGGTAAAAGAGATAAAACTGAAGACATTGACAAATGTATAGCAGATGACAATATGTCAAACAACACTTGCCAGATGAAACATTTCTTTAAGTAAATGACGGGTTCAAAGCATCTTGCGGCAGGGTATTTTTCTAGTGTGGTAAAATAAACTTCTCTGCATATATTAATGTGCATTAATCAGTGATAACATTATAAAGTTATCTTCTTTGAAGCCCATTTTAGTGTAAAATAATTGTAGCAATTTATATGTCTCTCTTTGCACTCTCTAAATTATACGGCTTTCAACAGTTTTCCTAATTTGTTTCTTCTTGTCTATGTTGAGCCTTTCCCTGCCCTTAAGAAATGGTGATATATAATGTCCTTAGCATCCTTATTATCAGTAGATCTTCAATAGTAAAACCACAGTCAGGTAGCACATGTTTTATGTCAGTATTTGTACTAGTATATCATACATTCACCCCAGCATCAAGCATACTAGACTGTAGTACTAGTACTAGAATACTCTATGTTATAGCACCATTTGAGCTGTTTATTTTAACTCATACTATTTTATTTTAACTAGTAAATGATTTTATGTATGTTTTCCATTTCAGGGATGCAGGCTATGAAGCTGTCAGGGTAAGCTCAATCAGACTAAAGTAATTTTTTCTTCAATCAGCAGATAAATATTGAAATTGTTTACCTCCAGTATTTCGATGTCTATCAGAGCAACCTTATCAGGAAAACCATTTCAATATTTAACTGTGGATTGAAGAAAAATTGCTTTATTCAAATAACATAACACTGCTGATGAATTCTTCTCTGAAGGTCAATCAGACTGTTGATAATTTGATACAAGAGTTTTTAAAATGTATGTCACTTATGTACCTTGACTAGTACAATAGAGAGACATGCAGTATGACAATCAAGGAGTGTCTTAAGATGGTCTGAAATAGATCTTGCTTGACTGCTTATATAAACAGATGTCATCATAGTTTATTTTATTTTTGTCACACAATCAAGACCAAGAAACAATTTATGGAATTTAGATTGCTTTTATGGAACTGTCTTCCAGCACATACGTGATCTCATATACAAGGCTCAGAAAGAAATTCAGTGATATTATTTTTTCGTACATATGACACTTAAACAAGGTCACCCCTGCACCCCATATAATCTATGCTAAATAACACCTAACCACACTGTTATTTATTGATTTATTGCACTGCATTGTTAGTTCATATCTAGGGTAGTTTTATGTTTTAATTTTAACATGCCCTGAGCTTTTATTCCCATGCATTCCACTTTCTACATTTTCATATGAGCAGCCATTTGTTGAAATATAGATCTATCTATATGATTAAACTGGCCTGCATTGTGGTTGAAACTTGCAAGTTGGGTTATTGGCTAGTAAGATGAACAAGTCGACTGAAATAAATTTAAAATATTTTGATTTATAGGAGATCTGAAATCAGCTTACTAGCACTAATTACAAAATCTTTCCAAACAGCATTGAAATTTACAATACCTGTACAAGTAAATAAAACATATGATAAGAACTGATTACAACTGCTCATTATGCTATCTGGATTATTGTAAATAAAATATATTGCTCAACATTTGTAAATGTGTTTCTTGACCTTTGTGGGAGTTTAATTAGATTTGTAAAAATATACTGAAAAAATTCATGAAAATTAAATACTTAGTCTTAAAGATCTTATCTTCATAGATATTTCTCAGTATAAAAGTACTAGATGTCATCAAGAGTGTTTTTCATTTGCAGATAAAAGAGCCAGAAGATCTGGAAAAACAGGGTCCATTTGATGTATTTATTCACAAACTCTCTGATGACATAGGGTCAGCATTAGATGGGGATGAGGAGGCCAAAGAATTAGTCCAAAAGTTTCAGGTATTAACAAACTTAATACATTCATTTATTGAAAACAGGGACACATTATTGAGTGCTATCTGTACCTCACTATTGTAAACTTACTTGGGCTTTGTTTGTAGATATACTAATCTGAATTCAGGATAAGTCTATTGTTTCATGTGTTAATATCAAGAATGTATTATCAACACATTGAAAGTATTGGTAATAGATGTATGTTCTTTTTAATACAAATAGAGGATTATGTTAATTCTTCCTAGTCTATTTAATTAATGTTTGTATTGAGTTACATGTAAATGAGGTTCCCATATAAATCTGTCCACAAATATTAACATATTTGTACATACCAAGAAGTGAGGTTTATGATATGATTTGGTGTTATTTCAATTAGCTTAAATAATCTCATTACCTCCACCGTTTTATTATGCTCTGAGGGACAGCACACACTATTGAGGCTACGACTATGCATGTCCAATGCATTGCCTTATGATTATGACTCATGTTAACATTTGCATCTGTGTGCTGATATTGGTGATTTTTCACATTTTTCTTGGCAATAAAACCAAAGACAAGCCTGTACTATATAATTATGTCATGTGAGCTAAAGAACTTTTGCAATTGGCCATCCATCTTGCTAGATACTTATAGTTGCCTATGTTAGAAAGATGAAAATCTTGGTAATTTGCACATGCAGGCTGGATATTTCCTTAATAAATTTATGAATGGCATTATGATTTTGTACTGGGTGCACTGGTATTGCTGTGTATACTTACTAGTGTAGAGTAAAAGTTCAAATGTTAACACTTAAGGCAGTGCTGTATATACCATGTGGTTCTTATCAGACAGAAGTCTCACAGGTGTGCTTTCCAAAATCAATCATTTAAAGCAACTAATGCCTTTTATTAGAAAATTCTGAATCCAAGGTTGGGTTATGCATCTGAAACTTTTTTTCTGACCAACAAAGATGTCGATGTTTTGAATAATGAAATAAGCAGTCTTTGAAATTAATAAGTAACAACAGGAGTAAAATGGCAAACATTACAGCCAAGGAGAAGTTTGTGGTTATCATTAAGGTGTTTTGTGATAAGGTTTTTAAATATTAAAGCATTGTGGTAAACGTGGTCAAGAAATGTGGATTGATGGATATAAATCTCCATTGCTAAGTAACCTATTAATGCCCTTTTCACATATCAATTTGCATTCTTCTGAATTTATTCAAATGTATGTCCCCCCTTCAACCCCCCCCCCCAAAAAAAAATAAATAAATAAAAGAAGCACCTGCAAAAAAAAAGAATTTACATCAATTAAATTATTTTTCAGAAATTCTACTTTAATTACACCTTGATTTAATCACAATATTATTGTATTACATTATTTTATTTCAGTCCCATTTCCAGAGATGTCCCTCTTTACTGGTAATAGATCCCTTTGATAAGGTGGCCAGGATGATAGATAGAAGGGAACAATACCAGGCTGCCAGAGACTGCTTTCAGAAACTTCAAGGTACTTACTTCCCTTAAACCCCCTTTACACTGGACAACATCCTTTCTGAATCCTTTGTGAGACCACGAAACTGGCATAGCTGTGGTCATAGAAAAAAGGCACAAACACCTCTTTGGTTGCAGAATGAATGCTCAGTGACCAGCCAGTTGTTGGCAAGTAAAGTATTATATTTTTACTCTCAAATGGAACTGTACTACGGGATACAGAAAGGATGCCTTCCAGTGTAAAGGGGACTTAAGTCTTTGAACATAATGGTAACTCTGGTTGTGTTTCCAGTTTTGTTGGGTAGATGTATCTGAAGCTTCCTGACACCCATCTCAGTTGGTCATGGGATTTTGCACTTACACGTTGAAGCAAATTCTCTTGCAGTTCCAACCATACACTCTCTCTCTCTCTCTCTCTCTGTCTGTGAATTTTACTTTTTTATCCAACAAAGCTTTGAAATATTAATGTTTTAAGTTACAAACTGAAACATTTTATTAAATTTTTTATTATTTTCAGATGATCAATATTTTATACCAAATTTTGTTGAACTCACAAACACAGATGTGTCAAGTAACAAGAAGCTTATTGAGCAAGCAGGAATAACATTCCCTTTTAGTGAGTATTTTGATGTATACACTGTTTTACTCTGTTGTATGTGCAAGACAGTGGCATATCCTTTACCCACTTATTTCAGTGTAGCCTTTGTTTATATTGGTTTATAAGCCAAAAGAGATGTAAGTTGCTTTCTGCATAGACTGTGTGTAATTAAAAATCAAAGCAATTTAATTATTTTCATTACAAGTTTTTAGCTATATCCAGTGAACCTGTAGCTTATCATTTGAACCTTTTCTAAATGGTCACCGTTTTCAAAACTAAATTGGAGCAATATCTTAAAGGGATAATAACTCTTCGTTTCGGCCAAAAAATGAATTTTCCTGGAGTAAACAACAATTTTCCCATACTTACCAATGGTTAATGAATCCATTTTTACATTCAAATTTAGTCCCTGGTTTTTTTCTAAAAATTTTGGTTTTTTGTTAAAATCTCTTAAGAGATTATAACAGAGTATAGCCATCAATGGAGGTCACGTGGTCTAAAGACAAGCTCAGATATCAGAATAATAGCTATAACTGCTGTTTTTGTGGTAAAACAGAATATATTATATTTCTGTGAGTTATTCACAATGTTTTTATTGTGAAATATAGATTTCATACAAAGAGTTATTATCCCTTTAACATTTCTCCATAGATCATTATACATCAGCCACATCATTTATAGTAACTGCTTGTAAGAATTTTAGGAAAGTGCTTCCAGAAGTGAGGAATGTCTGGATTTTCCTCTGCCGATCATATCTCAAATTATCAAATATGTTTGTTGCTTATATAATAGTTAAGGATTAGCAATAGTTATTCTCTTGTGCACTTGGATTTGTTTTCTATTTAAAGTTAATTCTGAATGCAAGTTTCTAAAATTCTATTTCAGTATATAAACCTGCTGCAGCTCATGGTTCAGCAGAGTGTCATCATGTAAGTACAATGTGGTGGGATTGCTCTTCATTTAATGTCTGCCAGAAAAGTTTCTGCACTTCACTTGACTGTTTAACTCTTGTACATGTGGGGATGGAAACAGAATGTCCTTTTACTAGAGTTAGTCTGAAAAGGATTTTAATGAAAAAAATTATAATGGGTACAGCTGAAGGGTTTGTCTGTTTAATTGATTAATAATTTGATTTTTTTACCTGTAACACTTGTGCACTTGTGTACAATTATACACTTGTTGATTCATTAAGTTTTTAAGCTATAATTTTAATATAAATTGTAATAAATTGTAACATTATTGTCTGTAGCTTGCAGTTGTATTCAATGAAGATGGCCTACGTGACCTCCCGCCTCCGTGTGTAGCCCAGAATTTTACAAATCACGACGCTGTGTTGTATAAAGTGTATATAATAGGGGACCATATCCAAGTGGTGAAGCGCCCATCTCTTAAAAATTTTAAACAGGGAGGTATGTTCAAACCTCTTTATTGATTTCTTATGGGGTTTTATTTACTGCATTACAAGCATGCTGTTTTTCTTGAATCAAAGTTTTCAGAGCCTAGAAATTGTTTTTCTATTGAATCCTTTTCTTAATTCAGGGGCCCCCGAACAAAGTGATTGATTACTTTATTGATTTTATCAAGTTGCCTACAATTGCTAAAGCAGCCACCAAGCTAAAGTTGTTTTGAAACCCTGAATAAAAATACTTAATTATAGGAAACACAATTTCTAGGTCCATGTACTTGAGGAATGGGATAGATCACTGTACTAGTGTTCTTTATATGGTAAACACATAGGATTGGAACTTATTTTCTAGATAAAGTTGTTTCAGTTGAGTGTATGTGTGCTAAATATTGCACTTTTCTGTATTAATGGGTTCACTGATTTTTCATAATTCAAAATGTAGTCAAAGACCATTATGTGTTATCTTAATGTTTATAGACATACAGAAACAATATACTCCTGCAGAAATCTGCATTTAAGAAATTGTATCTTTTGTGAGTCAAGAAATATTTATATGAGTGAGATATTTTTTTACAGGTAGCAAAGAATCTACTGTGTTTTTTGACAGTTATGGAGTGTCCAAACCCAACTCAAACTCGCATTTAAATAAGGTAAGTGACACATCTGGGTCACTCATTATTTCAGCAATAATCTGTCTAAAGATGAAAATGATTTTTGATAGTCTGTCTAGTTTTTTTTTCTCCTTCTTTCCTAGAAAATTTGCAAACACAATAAGCAAAAATTATTGGCAAATTTATTTTTGACTGAGGACCAAGTATTTAGCCAGCAAACCATCCAGTCATCATTTGGAAGGCTTTTTCTTGCAGAATGTGGCCTAGTCTAGAGCTGAATGGTTGCTTAAATTCTCAGGACACCTCATATTTGCATTAATGTGTGGAACTGTGTAAATGTTAATTAAAAGGGTATTGAAATAACTTTTTAAAAAATGAAATTTTGAAAATTCTCCTCTTTTGTTTGCATTAAGTTTATCATTTGTATGAGATATATGAGCATCAGCCAAAGTCAGTTGTTTTCTGTGTATGTATTTTTAGTTGGATCTGAAGGAAGAAGAACCCAGTGATAAAACTGTGCTGCTGTCTCCAGATCTAGACAAAGTACGCAAGATGGTGACTGCGCTGCGTAGCTCTCTCAAACTAGAACTGTTAGGAATCGACCTGATCATAGAGAAAACAACTGGAAGATATGCAGTGATAGACATCAATTCATTTCCAGGTGCTCATTACATGATTCTCACTACATACTTCTGTCATTAATATTATAAATTAATAGTTCAGTACTGCAACAATATGGCTGCTAAGAGACCTCCTTGAGTATTATCATGAGAAATTTCACTCCCTCTCCTCCCACCCTGAAAATCTTGGATCTACCTGTACAATGTTCCAAGAAGAGGCTCATTTCAGTCCATGCAGAACCTAGATCAATTCTAGATCAAATTCTGATAGATTGTGGATGTTTTTGACCAAAAAGGCTGTTTTTATTTCTAACTCCACCCCTCTTATGGGACAGCAGTAAGTAGTAGATTGTCCTTGTTTGTTGGGGAAGTCAACTGATATTTTAGCTTCTGCTTAATCCTACATATTGCATTGAGATAAATTGATATCATGGTATCTTTTTGCAGGTTATGATGGAGTAGACAACTTCTTCGAAGTACTTTTAGACATGTTATCAAAGAGGCTGCAGCCAAATGAACGAGAAGGTACCAGAAAAAGAAAGTCTTCTGAGCCATTGGAAAAAGATCTGCACACCTGATTATGACAATTTCATCGAGTAGTAAGAGCTGCTGAACTGCAATGACATCCACAGAGTCTTAAATTTTTATAGAGCCATATTTTTAATCTAAATTTACGACAGATAATTATCGATCTTCAGTGGTGTGTTCAGAGCAAGGTGAAATGTGCAACATCAAAACACTTCAGAGACCAACAGGTTTTGCCACCATATATTATATTTATTTTGAATACAATATACTGATGATAAAATTATTTGGTTCACATTGGTACTAGACTCAGTGACCTCACAAGGTCAAGGTCAGTCGGGAGAGGGATAGGACATTCTGTAATCTCAGAACTATATATGTGAGTAAGTGAACAACATTTATTGGATCTTATAAGCAGCAAAGCTATCCATTAATATGAATACTTTCATAGAGAATAGAAATAAGTACTAAAAATTCATCACATTTCACTTGTGAAGGTAGTTATGCTTGTGCTCTTGTTTTGTCTTGAACTTTGAATTGACTGAATTGTTTGCCCAGTGCCAAACCTGCAAATTTATCTTATATTTATTGGTGTTGTGTAAAGTGAGTCTTTATCCATAGATATATGTGTACAGTGGCCAGTCAGGACCTTAAATTTCAAAGTCTAGTGGAGAATTACCTTATAATAGCAGCCAGCAAAACCTTTGCTTTCTTCATTGAACAGTAACGAAGAGTGGTAAAGGTGTACGTACCCTGTACCAGGGCCACAGAATGATTTTTCACTAGATATTTACATATGTCTCCAGCTAACTCTATACACTTTTCTCTGCTGCAAGAATTGATGTATGAAAATTCATGTCATTCCTCAGTAAAGAGTAGTATATGTAGGTCAGATTCTTTTAATAGTCTGAAGCTTACGTGTAGCAAGTATCTCTGTTTACTCAAAATAATTTCAGACTCATGTTAATTTGAGTAATAGGATATATATTTGCGTGTAGATATTCTTGAAATGTACACCTTAAGTTGTAACTAAGGCACTCCACTAGTGACACATTTACTCTTCTTCATGCCAGCATTAACCAAATGTTTACTTAATGTCATCATTCACAATTTCTGATATTTATTGTGTGAGACCATTCTTGAAACTATTGTCATAAATTAATTGCTTAAATTTTGAACTGAAACATAGTCAAACTTTTTGTATTAAGTAAAAATGTAAACTTCTTTGTGTGAGGGTAATTGTTTTTCTACAAGGTATACAAATAAATTATTATTTTGTACAATAATTCAATAGTTCAGAAGTGGGTGATGATCCATTAATTAATAACTTTGTTATATTCTTTATCTGTTAACTTCTGGATAGTTCAGAAATGGGCTAATTAAAATTGATTAGATTTTGGTGATGATCCATAAATTAATGAATGGCTAATTAGGAATTAATTACTTGTCTTGGCAGAGGTCTGTGCCTCTGAGTGCTAGTTAAAGCAGTGTTTTTTAGAAAGCATATACAAATAAGTTAGAACATCAATATATATTATCACTAAAAATCTTTGTGGAATTTCTGTTTATGAAGCATGACAATTTTCTGTTTTATTTATTTATTTATTTTTTATTTTTGACAACTGCAAATTATACGCTGTGCAATTTTGGAATGTACATACCAGGGAAGCAATTTTGGCTGATGTTAATTGTGAGTTTTTCATGTACAAGCCATTAAAGTGCCATTTTTTTTTTCTTGGTCAAAAATGTTTTATACTTTTTTCTTTGTAATTGTATAAAGCTTGGTTGACACATAACTGGTGTTGATTTGGAACCAATCCTCTGTTGCAATTCTTCATTTTTTACATGCTTCTAGTCACGCCTGTTTTTCCTTAGTATGCTGGGAAAGAGTACTCTCAATATTTCATATAGTGAGAATAAAATCTCTAAATTTGCATGTAATGTTCCTCTCCCTTCACTTATTTGATCATGCAATTAATTTGTTCAGGTTATGAATGGCAATGGTTGCGTGTTTGATTTTCAAAATATTTGTCATTTATATACTTGAAGCAGTGATTGCTACCTGCGCATTGTTACCACAAGTCCAAAAATGACTCTTTTGCAGACAAATGAAGTTTAAATTGCCATCAAGAAATCCAGTCATTTGAAGAAGTTAATTGTAGTAGAGCAAAGTCATGGGATTTATGTTAAATATTCAGATAGACCACAGTTCAGTACATCAGGTGGTGACAACCTTGGAAAACAATCAGGCAGGAAACCTTATTCAATAAATCATTCTTCAAACTTGGTTCTTGTGTTGGTTTCTCTTATAGTTCTCATTCTGTTTTGTTAGAATGGTATAATATGTGAAGTAGGAACACAATTATTTACAGGTGCTCAGAGCTACTAAGATCAACAAAAACTTCAATGAAAGGTTAATACTCCACTCCTGCAGCTTTTTCACATGGAATGTCTTTAGCTTTGGATTTATCTTTGTTGTTGATTGTAAATATAAGATGCACAAGTAATGAAAAGGAGTCAGATTATAACATTTTAAATAAATTAAATATCTACAACTCAATTTTGTCTTCACTTCTGTCAACTTTTATTATTTTCTTTCATTAACAATGTCATTTTGAAATAGGTGACAAAATGAGATACGTAAATAAGAACCTACATTGTATTACCTCTTCTTAAGTCAGTTTTTTTTACACAAATAATAAATAGAGCATTCTTTAGTAACTAACTGGTTAAATAGCATCAATGCTTTTCTCCCTTAATGACTAATTGTTTGTCCTTTAATCACTGATGTATCAGGCCCTAAGCCAGGGAGGGGAGTGTTCAAACCACCCTTTTTTGTCAAATAATGGTCCTTTTTGGGTAAAACTTGATCTAGGTACGCAAAGGCTTTGTGATAAAAGGTCCCTTTCTTCAGAAAAAGAGCCACACCCCCTTTCCCTTTGAAATAGCTGGCTACAGGCCTGTGTACGCTTGTGATGCAATGGTATTCAAACCTGCACAGAAATGAGTTACAGCACATACCCCAGTACATGTGGCAGGTGAATTTCATTCCGTATAAACATATTGGTCAGTCTTTAATGAGATATGCTTGTGCATGCTTTTAGTGCAGACAGCATCACAGATGCTGCCAGAGGGAGCAATTGCAGGATTCCTGCCAAATGGCCCAAATCCTGCAAGTACATGTAAAATATGCCAGTGTCCTAAACTCTCACCAAAAATTCCAAGTCCATGCAATATTTTTGTGACATTGTGCAATTAAAATATAAATTTCAAATATCTTAGTTTTTGTTTTTTTCTAATGCTATACATATTCTGTCAAATGATGTGAATAAAATTTTTTTTAAAAAATATGAATGCCTCAATCCTCATGCCTCATGCCTCAATCAGAATGAATCACGCTATATATAGATTCTGCAGTACAGGACTTGACATTAATGCTGGCCCGCTCATCCAGGGCCACTGAAAACCGACGTCAGGCCAATTGAAGTGCCGGTGAGTTAGTATATGTCTCGATCTGGAAAGGCAGGTCACAAGACATAGTTTAAAAAGAGGCCGGCGCTGAGTTGAACGCCCATATTCCTAGATGAGAGGATGTGCGAAGACAAGAATAAGAGAAAATTACAGTTTGGAGGATGCAAAAGAGCAATTAAGGTAAGAATTACTTGAAGTACCTTTATAGACACAAAAGGGTCTACATTGGCGACGAGGAAGCACGAACTAAGAAGAACCCTGCTGACCAGAAATACAACACAAGTTGGCAAAGATTAATAACAAACGCTTCACTAAAACTTTGCCATACAACATCTTAAAGAGAAAGAATGATTCCTATATGAGACCAAGGAATTGTGACACAATGACACTGCAGTTAATAATAAGGAACATTGGTCCAAAATAAGGAAAGGTCAGAAGATGAGAGACACTAAGTTATCAATGTGCAAAATTCTGTTGTAAAAGCTGCAAGTAGATGAAGATGCTGTAGCTGCTTTTGGGCAGGCCTCATCATAATCCTAAATTTGAATTTTTCAAATTTTGAAGCACTAAACAGGAAGCTACTGAAACAATTGATGCGTACCATGTCAGGTAAAGACATTTAGGGACCAACCGTGGTTTTGAGAACTTGGACTGAGAGACTAAGTCGCATATTATTCAGGGATGTGTATCTCATAAGTTGAAAGAAATCTCAGTGAGCAGGCTCTCACATTAGATAACTAACACATGTTAGAACCTTAGAACTATCAGAGCACAGGTCGCATGTTATGGAGGGCGATTCCAGCGTAGCGCTGAAGTTAATGTCTAGTTTCCAGTTTCGTTTTTTAAAAACAAACCTGGCAACCAGAAACTAGTTTCGTTTTTCAAAAACGAACCTGGCAACCAGAAACTAGTGTCATTTTTTTAAAAACGATTCTGGCAACTGCAAAGCAGTGTCGCTGTGAGAGAAGCCAGAATCGTTTTGCAAAGAAAAACAGGTAAGGGGTAGACAAGGAGAGGCAACCAGCATACTACCGCAACCAGGTAACCCTCACCGCAGAAGCCGGGCAGGGTGTTAAGAACTCTCCTCATATAGAGACCGCCTCTTGAGCCTGACACGTTGCCTTCATTTGACAACTAATGTTAAAATATCTACGGAGGCTCAAAAACGGGATGTAGGGAAAAATCAACCAATCGTTTACTTAGGCTTAACTGACCTTCGCGTTGAACTTGAACACAGTCATGTGACGTGTGAGAACCGTAAAACTTTTAAGCTTTACTCCGATGTGAAAATAAATAAATAAATAAATTACTAAATAAATAAATACCTAATAAATCTATTCGCCGCTTTCAACCTTATGATGGTTTGATCATGAACGTGATCACTCATAGGTTCAACATGGATGATTATTGTGGTGAAAATACCCCTAGTATGGACCACGAAGGCACAGACAATGACTCAGATTTCGACCCCAGCTCAGATAGCAATGATTCAGTGAAGGCAGAAGAAAAAGTAGGGTCACATGAAGAACAATGCAAGGAAGCATCTAAAAGAGATAATGAAGAAACAACCTTCCAGGAATTTCCCAAGGCAAAGCAAGGCAAAGTTTAACTCTCCATATACCCAGTGAAGAATGGATAACATTCACTTCACAAGCGCCCCTTTTTTTCAGGGGTAATGTCATATGTATGTTTCAGGAATGTGTCAGATACGGGCTGACAATAAAAAAGTTCAAAGAAAAGCGGAATGTGAAAGTTAAAACACGAACCATCCCACCTTATGTCGCCATTAAACACGATAAGGGGAAAACGAAGGGGAGGCCTATAAGAGGTATTGAAAGGGAAGAGGCAGCTGAAGATCTCCAGAAGAACTTTCCCTCAAACGTTTATTACGAGAGGTTGTTGAGGACAGTCACGGCAGCATTCCAGGCAGGTAATACATCTCACATAGCAAATAAAAATGTCCTACAAAAAAATATCTTCGGAGGCAAGTCTGACAGAACAAAATGTATTCATTGAGCTTGGCGTTCAAAAAGAGGTTTACGAAGGCCTGGATGACAACGAATCTGGTGTGATAAGGGGGTGCATCCAAAGAAAACAGAAAAAAATCCTAAGTGATCCTTCTCCTGTTCTGTCTGAGACTTCTTGTCTATCAGATTCAGATAGTGACAGCTCTTCCTATCTGGGCCCATTAACTAGTTCCTGTGCTCGCAATTTTGCAAACCCAGTACCCAAGCCCAGAAAATCTTTAAGAAACAGAAAATTTTAGGAGGAGAATTGAGTCAGTATTCTTTTTTTTTTTTACAGCTGTAGGACCAGCTTTTATGTAGGGGGGGAGGATGTAGTAGTAGTACTTGATTTCTTATTTTGTTATTGATTTCATCATATTTTCAGTCTATTCCGTTTTTATATTTCCGTTCCTTATTTTCAGTCTTCCCTGATTTCTTTCCTATTCTTTGTTTTCTGGATTTATACGTAGTTGCTTTTCATTGGTTTAAAGTCTTTAAGCCCTAATTTCCTTTGTCTGTTTCCTCACTTTCTCTCTTTATGTCTCGTGGGCTGACATTGTTTTTCTTTACAGGTAAAATTTTCTTTTTATCTTTCATTTTGTATAAAGTTATATATTATTTTCTTAACCCTCATTATTTAGTTATTATTAACAATTTAATGTTTAATTTTATGTTTTATTTAGTAAACTTATTAAACTGTAATTTATAAAAAAGACTTTCTCTCTTTACGTCTCGTAGGCTGACATTGTTTTTCTTTACAGAACTGTAATAAAATCTGTTACATTATTATTATTGTTATTATTATTATTATTGTGTATTATTTATA